AGATAAAGCCAAACCAATTTTGACCCCTGTTGAAGAAAATTTGAAGTTGGTTATAGATAGGACTGGTGATTTTGTTGATGCTACATATTTTAGAAAATTGGTAGGGAGTCTAAGGTACTTGACTTCTACAAGGCCTGATATTACTTATGGAGTTGTATTAATTAGCAGATTTATGAAAACTCCACGACAATCCCACTTGCAAGCAACAAAAAAAATTTTGAGATATATTCAAGGTATGCAGACTGATGGTATATTTTATTCAAAGACTAATGATAGTAGTCTTGTGGGATTTACAGACAGTAATCGGGCTGGTGTTACGATACAAAGAAAAAATACTTCTGGCTATGCATTTTATTTGGGTTCTGGTGTATTTTCTTGGTCTTCCAAAAAGCAACAAGTTGTTGCTTTATCAATAGCTGAAGCAGAATACATGGCTGCAACAAGTAGTGCTACACAAGCATTGTGGTTAAGAAGAATGCTTGGATTTCTTCAACACAAGCAAACAAGCAAGACAATCCTACAATAATTTTTTGTGATAGCAACTCTCTAATTGAGTTAACAAAGAATCCAATTTTTCATTGGCGTAGCAAACACATTGATATCAAATTTCACTTTATTTGTGACTTGGTTCAAGACAAGGAGATAGTTATTGAGTATTGTAAGACTGGAGAGTAAGTTGCTGATGTTTTCACAAAGCCACTAAAATTGGAGTTATTCATCAAGTTGAAGAAGATGTTGGGCATGATTAAATTTGAAGATCTTGGTTTAAGGGAGGCTGTTGGAAACTAAACCAAGATTAATTAGTATTCCTAAGTTGCTAGGATTTGATATTTGGTAGTTTATTTAATTCATGTCTAGTTAGATTTTGTTTACAAATTTTATATTGGAATAGGTTTTTGATTTTGTAGTATTATAAATAGGGGTGCTACTACTTGTTTTCTTGTAGAGAGATTCAAGAGTTTATGAGTTGTGAAAAAGCCTCCTACCAAGTTTAATAGTTTAATAAATTTCTTCTATATAGACTTTGTTGAATTTTTTACTTGTGCCTAAATTATTCTTGGGTATTTCAATCCTTCAAACATAAAGTTCAATGCAATTATGAGAAGTGTTGCTTTATGTATGTGTGTCTTATGTTTCTTATATATTTTCTTTCTTCTCCTCAAAATTCAAACACTTCCCATTTATCTCAAAATCAAATTTCAGAAAAAACTTCTTCTAATTACTAATATCTCAAAAAGATGGCAACTATTTAAGTTCGCTAAATCTTGATTTCCTTTTCGTCTATAACTCTAAATTCTCATCACGCCTATATAAGTTCTGCGCGAGAAAACATGAAAGACAGACATCACACAGAAAATGCCGAAAGAGTTAAACACTATTTACACTTTCAAGTTCCCTTCTGTTTTCTCTCTTCGACTCTTTTATCCTCGTTCCCTTTCTCAGAATTGTAAGAACTATAACATTCCGGTGTATTTAAAGAAGAATCATATCCACGATTTTTCTCTTGCCAATGGAAATGTCAAAAATAGAATATGATTAATCTTTAAATATACTGGAATATCATGATTCTTACAATTCTAAGAAAGGAAATGAGGACAGAAAGATCCAACTAATTCATGTGGGTTTATACTTTATACTCATAGTGATTTGATGGGACTTGGGAATAAACATCTATTTATTTGGGATTATAATGCGTAGATTCAATTCTATAGTCTTTATCGGTGAGCAGTTATCAAAATTTCCTAGTAAAAACATTTTCTTCATCATCTATATTATGTAACCATATACAAATATAGAGTTGTTCACTCAAAGTTCTTTATTTAAGAGCCAATTTCAAAACTCGAATTAAATATACCGATGGCGTGATTAATTTTTACACGATTATTGTGATTTGATATATTATAACATGTTATTTACCATTTAAATTAATTTACTAAGCAATACTTATTATATACTAGTTTCTGGACACTTGCGTTGCACGTCTATCCCATGCCAATCAGTACGATTTTTTCTTTCTTTTGTCTAAGGTAAATGCAAGAAGACGATTATAAAATGAAATAAGTTACTAATCATATGATCAATAAAGGGCAAAACATTTTTAATTTATTCTTCTATAGAAAGAAAAAGATATTAATGTTCAAAAGAAAAAACAAAAAAGACTGATTTTACGATCCATAAACATTATTAATGTTTGATAAATTGGGTATTAAAATTCTACTCAGTAAATGACTTATTTGCCTCCTTCTGTCTATGATGAATTTATGAAATGACGGTAATTAAAATGAAAGAAAGGGACAAAAAATTTAAACGAAAAAACTACACCATTAATATAAATAACATACTCAGTAAACATACATTAATAAAGCATTATTAGAAGTAAAAAGAACATGTTGACGATTATTATTTGACCAAAATGTCAAGCCAATCATCGACCTATCCCAAAGAGCAATAATGACTCTGAATACTGCATATTTAGATGACAACATTTTTTCTTTTTAGGAGAGGTTTTAGAGGACCAAAAGTTTATAGAAGCAATACTATATGTATAACAATACTTAAATTAATGAAATGCAAGCTCATATGTATGTTACTGCACCAGAAAAGGTACCTTAAGTCAGATTACTTAATTTATCACAAGCCCGTCTAAAAGTTATGATAGAAGAATGTTTTTTTATGAAATATGCTAAAAGAACATGAAAATCACAATATTAGATTATGTATCAGTACATCTCACAGATTAACAAAATGGAGATATTATTATCGAACCATACAATGAATAATAAATAGTCAAAAAGGGAAAGGAAAAAAGAAATAGAAATAAATGATATTACAGTTATTAAATTATTGTAAAGCTTAAAGAACCGAAAAAAATAGAAGAATAGAAATCGAATGGACCACAAATAATTTAAAATTTTAGACGGTTTCATGAATTTCTCAAAATTTCTTTTATCATTTGATTTATCGAAAAACTTTTACACAAAACATAGCAAGGTAAAATACCATTAATTAGCTATAGAATTAATAAAAAACTATGGAAAGTGACTAAAAAAGAAATCAATTAACCTGATTTGGCACTTGTAGTTTGGTTTTTTGTGTTGCTGATGCTGAGTAATATGCATAATTTTGAAGAATAATGTGTTTAATGGATAATGGCTTGACAAAAAGAATAATTATTTAATAAGTTAGTTGTCTGTTTTTTAGATTTGAGTAGGATATAAAAGGTACTGGGAAAGGTTCACCTTCCCATTTAAAGTTATTATTGAAAGTTGAAAAGAATTAAAATATTAAATAAGTGTTCTAAAGGTTGCAGTAAGTACTGAAATATGGAAGCAATTGCAACGCATTAAATAGGCTGCAGTAAGTGAGAGTTGCACCTGGACAAGTATTGGTCTATTTATCTAATTTTATTTTAATACAATATCATTATTTTTTTAAAGGTAAATTTACTTTTAAATACCAAAAATTATAGGAGTAAATGTGTAATTTTAGGAGAAAATGGTCACTCAATTTTTAATGGGTAATATGATAATTCAACTTTCACTTTGGGGTTTTCTGCTTATAATATAATATAATATAATGATTATTACCTGAAATTACCTTTTGAATTAAATATCTTGATTGTGAAAATATTCTTTACACCATCCGCGCATATAATTTCTTTCTAAAACATAGGGTTAAACTTTTTATGGGTAACTTGTCATTAGATATAATTGAGTTATAAAAATACAAAATAGAACCTGTTAATTAATTGATGATAGATTCACTGTTAAATATTTATAGATTTTTAGTGAAATTGGACAAAAATTACTGGATTTTCATGAAGTGATAAATTACACTGTAGATCCGTCGTTAAAACCACAATCAAAAGATTCAAACACAAGGTGCTCTTTTATACCATATATATACCACTTCTTAGTTTCTGTTCAGGAGTATATCTACAGTCACTAAAACTTCTATCACGAGAAATAGGAACACAAAAACCATGACCGATTAATAGCCTACCAATTAATAGCCTTGGTCAAAGCTTCTCCAAGCCAAAAGTACTTTTTTTTTTTTATAATTTTTTTTTTTTCAAAGTTAAAGTATTTGGTCAAGTTTTTAGAGGAAAAAAAGTGTTTTTGAGTAGAAGCAGAAGTAGAAGCAGTTTTGGATAAGCAGAAAAAAGTAGTTTCTCTCCGAAAGCACTTTTGAAAAAAATACACTTAGAAAAAGTAATTTTTAAAAGTTTGGACAAACACTAATTGCTCCTCAGAAGTGCTTTTTAAGTAAATTAGCCAAACATAAACTGATTCTTAGCAAAAGCATTTTAGAAATGTTGTTTAGTATAAATTATTTCAATAACATCACCATTGGCAAACAGGTTGCTGTGGTGTAGTGGTTATCACGTTAGTCTTACACACTAAAGGTCCCCAGTTCGATCCTGGGCAGCAACATGTTTTTTGTTTTTCCACATTAAATTTCTTCGTTTTTACCTATGAGTATGTGCACATTACTTGCTTAACATTCCAAAAGATACAGAATAAGCTTTGCTTTGGCATTCAAATTCTTTTTTCATTTTTCTTTTAATCGTTAGATCTTAGCGTGCTTTTTTATTGGATATTTCAGCCACTTGCCCTATTTTCGTTGTCGTATTTTAGAAAGTGAGGACTTTCCTTTAGCTACGACCTTGAAAATAATTTGTTTTGCTATTTTGCACTCAAACTCTACCATTTCCAGTGTGCTTTATTTTTCAGATTGTACTGTGCTTTTTTTGGACATTTCCTAGCATTCTCCTGTTTCAATTTGAGGGCATATTACATACCCCACCGTTTCAATTTATGTAAATCTATTTCTTTTTAGTCCGTGCCAAAATAAATGACCACTTTCCATATTTAAAAATAATTTACGTTTATGAAATGGTTTATAGCCCCACAAAATATGTGACTTATTTTACATCACAAATTCAAAAGTCTTTCTCTTTTTTCTTAAACTCTGTGCCCAGTCAAATAAGTTCACATAAATTGAAACGGAAGGAGTATAATAATGATGAAATATCAAGGCCAGTTGTGAATGCAATTTTTCCCAGCCAGACGTTTGCAAGGAAAGTTAGAAATCTCTGTTGCACATTAAAGAATATGATCAGCTGCTGAATCAGAAAGACTAATGCTATTCCATGTCAAAATCCAAATACATTCTATAGGCATTTCTATCTGAAGAGTAATAGCCCTCCACAAATGTATCCACTTGAAAACCAAGTTTCTTGTATAGCTGCATTGCAGGAGTCCTTGTAGGATCTATATGAAGCGATATCCGATGAACATTTCTTGTTCTGCATTTCTGCACTACGGCCTTGAGCAAATTTTCTCCATAGCCTTGTCCCCTGTAATTCTCTTTCACTGATGTTTATTTCCAGCCACAGAGGAAGGATGCATCAGTTAACGAACGAATATTTTTTATTTGTCAAAAGAAAAAGGAAACATTGTAAATGAACGAACTTCTCTGTCTCAATCTGTGCTGATTTATGCAGGCAATGAGAAAACAAACAGGAAAGCGACAGGCATATAGTAGAAAAAAACCTTTTAAACCTTTTAATGAAGTTACAACAATTACGCCTCAGTCCAAAACAAGTTGGAGTCGACCATATGAATCCTCAAAGGTTAAATTCCTCAAAGGTTAAGTCATATTTTTTTTTGGATAAAAGATCATTATATGAAATTCACAACCACTGAGAGAACCAAAGCAATTCTTTAAAACGGAAAAGAAAAAAAAAACATCACAAGCAAGACGGTTTTATCTTCTATGCAAATGATGATAGACAATGCTTACTGACCTATCAGGAAGACAGGAATACTCAATAAAAATACCAATTCACCTGTTTTCTTTCCCGAGCAATTTAATATGATGAGGGTCAGAGAAATATTTAATTGAACTCTTCTGCAAAATTCCTTAAAACTAGTTATTGCAAGGTTCAATGTTCCTCAATAGTAGCTAATTAAGCTTTAGTCATCCTAATTTGAGTAGCAGGTTTTAAACAAGGTCAGATTTTGGTCAGCTTGAAATAGCCTACCAAGTCATGCAAATCCTCAGTAGCCAAACTAATGATTATGGAGGCATGGTTTTTTTACTGACGATGGTGTCCAGGCCACAGCTATGCACACTTAGACTATTCCACAGGATACCTGCTACCTCTCACTAGCACTTGTATCGGGTTACTACGGCAGCATCTCTTTTACAAATTACAATTGCTAAACGCCCTGTTCAATTCTTTGTTCCGGAGGTGCCAACACATCATTATTAACATATCAGCTTGCTCGAAGAGGAAAAATGCATGACACTTCTCTAATTTATTAGACCTGGCTCATCCAATCCAGCTATATTGAAGTGCATTGAAAGAGCAAAAGCAACTTTTCTTACCCATCTGTTCACACATATTAGAACTTGTTGGCAAATGCCTTCAAGTATATTCTTCTTAGAAAGACAACTTGATTATAGATTCAGGCTCTCCGAATAAGTATCTTTATGTTTTGAATGCTCAAGCTATAGTCACATTCACACCCCTGACTGTGCTTTCTCATATGCTACGTCACATTAGACATGAGTTCCACATGAGTCATGATCATAACTTTCTATCCGATATCACCAATTGGTCCTATCCACATCTCACCTAGAACTGGTGCAATCCCATGAATTCAACTTCTTCATGCCAAAATTCGTCCTCAACCTAATTGTGAGTCACATTGGTACAAGCTTCATAGACCAGGATATCAACAACGATTACAAGCACAGTAATGTTTTGGAAAACTAAACAAGTGCACTGGATTATTTATTTTTTCTCCATCCCAAACTTTATATGTTTACCAGTAGTTGCTCAAGTTAGACGGCTTACAAAGAGGCAATAGTTTCCTATGTTGCGCTGACTCTCCAAATATGTTGATGCACCTGTGTCGGATCCTCCAAAAATGCACTACTTTTGGAGGATCCGACACGCACTAGGGGACATTTTCGGAGAGTCCGAGCAGCATAGATAGTTGCCATTGCCAGTTATTAATCTTATAGGCTGTGGGAATAAGTGCCGCAAAATAGGCAGTTATTGCCTCCGCTCTTAAGCCTAGAGACTCATCTTCATTTAGTTTACTATTCAACTTCCCCCACTCCCTACTTGTACAGGTACGGACCAAAAGCTTCATCTTATCATATTTAAGAAATCGCTAGGCAGTCGAACTAGAAGAAGCATACCGCTAGCGTGAAAGACGTCGGCTTCTCTAGGAAAGTTGGCCCAATTCCTCTTCATTCGTTTTGATTTCTGCTGCTTTAGCTGTTATGAAATCATTTACCGAAACAAAAAAGAATCCTCCTCTTGAGGTCATTTACCAAGCCCAAACCATGCTCATGGGAGAAAAAGTATTTTATATGTGTCTTTTAGAACTAATCTAGTAGCAATTTAGCTGAAACTTCCAGTTTACACTGTGAGATAGCAATCAATCAAATGTTACTTGGTAATTGCAGAAGAATAGTATCTCAACTTTCCAGCAAAACATTTGGATGTAGTCGAAAAAATTACACCTTAAATTCAGTCCCAGACCAAAATTTGGAGTGTTACAATAAAAATCCCCCAGTCATCAACAAGAAATGATTAATCTTTGACTTCATCCCTAATCCCATGCCATCAATTTTAGGATACCTCAATCAGTGAATGTATTTTATCTTCTTTTACATTTTCAAAAAGCTATTTTCCTAATATCAGCTTATAGACTCCAATCCAAGAACAACAACAATGACTACAACGCCTCACTCCCAGACAAGTTAGGTTGGCTATATAAATCTCATTAACCATGATTCTTCAATTAAATTATATCAGGCAAATATTAAGTAGAATTAAAATAAAAATAAAGAGTATTAGAAGCAGAGGCAGAGCTAGGATTTAAGACTTATGGCTTCAATATTCTAATTCTTTTAATTTACTGGGTTATAAATTAATAATTTGTGCATAATTCAATTATTTTTTAAGACAAATATAGGGTACGGACAAAAGTTATTGGGTTCAGATCCGAAGGGCTAGCCCCACCCCTGATTAGTTCAATATATTTTCTATTAGTATATAAATCTTTGAAAGGGCTAAAAGACTCTAAAAAGCATAACAGTTAGGGATCTTTTAGTATGATGGATATGCGAAAATAATCACCGGATAAAAATTTAGTACCGCCTTATCCTTTATTTAGTTACTGATTAAAAATAATACCGGAATAACTTATATCTGACAGAGCGTAGAATAGTAATCCTAGAATACGTTATCACATGACAAAGTAGTAAAATTGACTATCCCAGTATTAATATAACATACCAAATAGTCAATAAGAACTAATACCAGCATAACTAATCCCAGCATAACTTGTCTTCAAACCAAACAATCCCTTAAAGTAATCATACCAACTCCAATCAAAGAACAATAAGATAAATTCAAGAATAAGACCAACTACTAACAGGAAAATTTAAGCAAGATGAAAAGGGCTTCGCTTTATTCAGACCTGCTAATTTAGTGATGCAAGCACAAAGGGAAGAAGGCCAAGAGTACATGACATAACCAGCAATATCTACACCACCCACTTGGGTATAGAGCAACCCACTGTTCTTCTTTCTTAGTTCTTCATCAAAGGATCGAGCCAAAGATTCGTGTTTAGGGAAAATCTTCTTCTCTATTCTCACTATTTCGTCAACTACCTTAGCCCAGTTTGGTGAGTTTCTCTGCAGTTCAACTATCACTCCCGTTTCCATTTCTTGGATTTCCCAAGTCTCTGCTGGGTCATAAAACCCTATAAATGAATGATTTTGATTTTTTGACTTGCCTTTCAACACGTGCAAATTTTATGGTCAAAAGTTTAAAATGTTATCCTAACACAAGCAAAATACGAAGAAATGGCGTGGATAGTTATTTTTTAACGTAATATTTAATTTTTATTCTGTATTTTTAATATTGAGCAAAAGAGTCGTTACTCTATTAAAATTAATACAAAAAGATATTTTTACCTTATGAGTGTTGTGTCCTTTACACTTACACTACACATATAAAATTAAAAATTAAGGATATGGTATCCTAAAGTTTAACAACGGAATGTATACATGACACTTTGTCCTTAATATTTACACAACATTCATGAAGTTAAAGACATCATATCCTTAATATTTACACAACACTCATAAAGATATTTTTACCCTTTCTTCACGAGTGTCATATCCTTAACATTTACACTGCACATATGAAGTGAAGGACATGAGGTCCTAAAGTTTGACAACAGAAGGTGCAAATACAAGTTAAGGACATATGTCCTTAATATTTACACTGCACACATGAAGTTAAGGACGCTATGTCATTAACATTTACACAACACATATGAAGTTAAGGACATGATGTCCTAAAGTTTAACAACAGAAGGTGAAAATACATGATATTTTATCCTTAATATTTACACAGCATTCATGAAGTTAAGGACATCATGTCCTTAATATTTACACAATACCCATATCTAGCACAAGGGTATTTTCGTCTGGGCGGGTAAAATTTTATTAAGCACTGGCTAAAAAGTAAACACATTTTAAACAGTGACTAAAGAGTAAAAATATATCTAATTAGCAGCTAACTGTGCACTTCCCCACAAAGTACAATACTTGTTAAACTTGAAGTTTTGGCCATAGAATAATCGCGGTCAAAAAAATCAAGAATGGCATCGAAGTGTCCTAACTTTGTAAATCACTAGTTCAATTTTAGGTGTCACAATAACTATAGAGAGTCAAAATGAGCTTTTCTTAGATCATATTTTTATTCGTTTTAAATATATTAAATTATTTACTATTATGACTTAGTGGTTTTTAAGCAGCCTATGAATATATAAATTTTATTTTAAGAAATTTAAAAATATTATGTTTAAATTCATCTCGAAAATTAGTTAATGTGACTATTGACCAGCACTATATTGCAATAAAGATGAATTGAAGGAGTAGTTCCTCATTCTATGACATCAGTATTATCTTAAAAGTTTTACTTTATTTTAGCAATTTTAAAAAAAATATTTTTAACATTTTAAAAGTTAACAATTATAATGTACATTGTTTTTATACTGTTTATAAGCATATAAATTAGTTTTATACAATAACACATTTACAACAAAAAAAAAAGGAATTTTTTTTCATAATAATAAACAATTAGAAATTAGCTTTCAAGTTTCAAATGTAACACATGGGGTAGTTTTGGATGGAAAATGAGTCAAATTACTTCGTGACTCCTCGTATTTTTTGCTTGGATGGAAAATGAGTCAAATTTAAACACCAATCTATGTAACTAACCATCCACATATTCTACTATTGGTACAAGAAATATACTTCCCCTAGGAGAAATGTCAAAATTTATTCCCGTATTATTTGAAATTCATCAATTTTGTCATTTGTTATACTTTTGGTTTTATTCATATTTCTTACCATGAGCAAATTATCTTGTATTTGTCATTATTTTTAACGAAGCTCTAATATAAATGGGTAAATTCCAAGTGTTCAAATTCTTTGAAAAAAGTCCAAATTCACCCCTCAACTATTAACTATGGTTTACTCTCAAGCTAAAGCTCCATTTGGGGTTAAGGGCAAAAATGATATTTTTTCTTAACGGCAAGTTAATATTTGACCGAAGGTTTAATGGAGGGTGATGCTGTTTAATTTCGAATAGTACATGGGCAAAGTTGATCTTTTGCTTTCTTTATCAATGACGGTGGTGTGAGAACCAACTTTTGCAAATTATGACTATTTGAGTACTTACTATATTTACCAGCACAAATATCAGTTAATTTTGCCCGCTAAGTATTAAGCAAATCGCAGAATATCATTATTTACCCTAAAACCGGATAACAATTGAATTTATACGTGGTTTTAAGGATACGTGATATAACTTGATACAAGTTGAGAAAATAGATCAATACTGAAATTAATCACGAGAAATAAATGCAAACCACAGAAATTGAACAGTCTTAGCCTTGAAGATTGGTCACCCTCGAGTTTGAAAATGCTTCAATCAACAACAGAACAAGTTAACAAGAATGAGAAATGATCAATATATTGCTTCTCTGATGCCTGTTACAAATGATCAGATCCCCATTTTTATAGTAGGGGAGTTTTACTTTTAATATAATTCTATAAAAGATAAAAATCTCGTGATTTGCTAATTAATCGGCCTCTCCCTGATACGTGCCGAGATTTTCGCCGTGATCTCCAACTGATCGCGGATATTTCGGCCTTCCGTTATCTGGCTCGACAAAGTTTCCTCGATCTTGTTTGGTCCCGGAGTCACGAGCTCAACGATTCAACTTCACGCCTGGATTCGATATAATCCGGGGTCGAGCCCTGACCCGTCACATTTCGGTCTCGACTAGTCATACAATATACTAACCCGGTTTTGACCGTATACAGATAGTCCCCTCATTTTTTTGAGAGAAGAATACGGGAAACGATATGAACTTCTGAGCCTTGCTTCGACAAACCATGACGTAGGCGAGAAACGGTCACTGAAACGTCTCGTCGGTCCAGTCTTCAAGGCATTAAATGTGTGTCAGTTGTTGGTCGAACACTACGGGTTTTGAATCGCCGTTTTGCAAACTATAAATACTTTACCCTTCCATCCATTAGAACTTTTACATTCAAACACTTGTTCTTGTGTGCTTAAGAAAAGTTTCATCATCTCCATCCTCTGATTTTCCAGCTTAAGTTCAAAATTTCTTCCTTTATAGTTTTCTGCAAATTTTTATAAACTATCCGCCAAATACACCTTCTCTTTCGTTAGTACCATCTTTTCACCCTTACTCAGAAGCAATGGCAAAGACTTCTAAATCTGTCCCTCAAAAGGAAACTCCCTATTCCTCGAGCCCGTCTGAAGAAGAAAAGGCTCCGTCTACTGTTGTCGAGGAAAAGACACCGGAAACCCCCTCAACTATGTTCGTTCCTATGGGGTGCCCAACTGGGGCCGATTTTAAAATCGAGAAAACCCCTTCCATACCGGGTTGATACGAGCCGGTCTCGAGGTACATATGCTCCATCACTGACGATCTCCTCCCCAAAGTCAAGGAAGACTGTAATTGGGGCGGTAAACATGTGGTGGTGCCTACGCCTGAGGAATCAATCACTACCCACGTTGAGGGTTTTCTAAGTGTACGTTGGGCCCTCTAGACCTAGTTATCATTGCCTTCTGCAAAAGGTATGAAGTGAAGCTCGGGCAGATTCATCCTTCATTTTGGAGGATAGTTATCCTGCTTCGTTTCTTCGTGAGCAAGTTCGACAAGTGCCCCTTCACTATCGATCATCTAATGCACTTGTACAGTCCTCGACTCTACCGAAGGGGACTGATAAAGCTTGCCCGTCAAGCTACTAAGGCCCCATTATCGAGCATAGATGAGGATTAAGACCAAGGGTAGTTGGGCCAGTTCATCCGAGTGAAGATCTCGGATCTAATCCCGGCAGAAGAAATGCCATTTCCCGAGAAATGGAACATGAAACGTAAGTATAACTTCACTTTAAAGATTTTGTTTACTACTTTTCCCTTTTCTCTCACCTAATCGGTGTTTCGTGGTGCAGCTGTCGCTCGGATACCGGATTCAGTTCCTCGACTCAAGGAGTGGGTCGAGGGAATCGTATTACAGAAACCCTCTTCCGAGCGCGCATGATGCGAACTTTGAAAGGGTCGGTGGGAGGCCCGTTCTAAATTCTTTCCTAGAACTGACATCATTTGGGTTTCTTTACAAGCTTACTCATCTCTTTTTTCTTTGTAGGCCTCGGAAAGGATGTTGCGAAGAGGCCCCCATCCGCAAATGAAATTGTCATCCCTCAATCTTCTGCTCCAAAGTAGGATAAAGAGAAGAAAAGAAAAGGGGCTCTGAGTTCCCCGAACTTGGAGAAGTAGAAACCGAAAAAGAGGCAGGCGCGCAAACCCAATGAGAATATTGGCGCCCTCCCATCGGACTTAGTCCGCCGATTAAGGGATGAGTCAGAAGAAGAAGAAGATTCTGAGATGGTGGCTCGGGTGCGAGCCCACACCGTATTGCCCCAAGCCAGGGAGGCTGCTGAGAAGGCTGTGACCGAGGTTCCTAAATCGGGGAAGGGCAAGGCCGCTATGCCCCAAGCTAGGGAGGTCGAAGAAGAAGCCGGTGCCAATATTCCTCGAGCAAGAGAGAGTGCCCCGGAAGATGCGCTTGGGGCGATTGATCTCACCGGGTCTCCTCTATTCTCCGACTCTATGATTAACGAGGCCGGTATACTAAAGGATCATTCGCACGAGAGGCCTTAGGGGGAGGCAGATCTCAATAACTTCTTTGACGGCCTAGATTCTACCGCCTCGGAGGATGTGACCGGGTTAGGTGATTTACCGGTGCCAAAGAAAGCACCCTATTTGGGAGCTAGTGGGACTTCTTCGATCCCAAAGTTAGTGGATCAATTCCCGGCTCCGAGTGTTGATCCCGACCAAAAACGGTCAATAGTTATCTCTATCCCGGAGGATGCCCGGGTTCTCTTCTCCCCCGTGGGGGTTGCTAACTATCTTTGATGCTTGGTGACCGAGGAGGATGAGGCCAAGATGAACGAGGTGGAAGCGTCCAGCCTGTTCAACAAGGCTCAACAAGCATTGAATCGGGTAACTTTGAGTGCCTCTTTACTTAGTACTTTAGATTTTAAGTTATAAATAATCGTAACATTCTTCCTTATGCTCGCAGGCCTCGATACTCCACCACGAAACTTTCCTCCGATACTGGGAGGAGTTATCCCAACACGAGACTGTGGTTCGGGAGCTAACTG